CCCGGGCTGGGAGCCTCGGAGCGTCCTGTGCACAGCCAGCCGCTGCCCGGGGCCTGGCCGGAGCCGGTGGTCAGTAAAGGCCGGCGCCCGGCAAATATTTGCCATACACGATCGAAGTGCACATCGTGTCCCGCAGCAGCTGCCTGACCTCGGACTGTCCGCTCGGCCTCCCTGCCTCTGCGTGGCAAGGACTCTCGGGCCCGGCCCGGCCCACGGCCCACAGCCACAGAGAAGCCCCGCGCAGCACGCTTGGAGACTGCGAAGCCGCGCCCGGGTGTGAGCTCTGAGCCCAGGTGTGAGCTCTGAGCCCGGGTGTGAACACGGCCATCGAGTTTTCACCCGTGCACTGGGAGTGAGCTGAGGGTCCCAGGCAGCGAGACCTGGCGGGGGGACTCCCCGCGGACCGGGGCAGGGGGCAGACGAGGGCCCCGCGGGGAGGCAGGTGGGTTCCCGGGGCTCAGCCTGCCTCCTCCCCAGCGCGGTGCACCGCTCTCGGGGTACGACTCCGGCCCCAGTCCTGAGCCCACAGTGGGGCCCGGGCCCGGACCCTGAGAGCAGCGGCCTGCAGACGGGAGGCCGGAGCGGTCAGTGCCTCCAGGGTGCAGTGGGCGTCCCCGTCCCAGCTCCAGCAGACAGGTTTGAACTGGACTGTTTCTGAGGCCCCAACACCTCGGGGGGGGGGGCGTGGCTCTGTGCCCTCCCGGGGCGCCCAGACTGGCAGCTCAGAGGAATGTGGTGCATGCCAGGCCGCGGCAGGAGCACCTCCCTCTGGCTGCCACCACCGGTGCGCATTCCCAGGGATGGCCAAGTGCCCAGAGAGGTGCACAACTGGCCGCTGGACAGACTACTTTCCTCCAAGGGGCACCAGGCAGGCCGCGGCCACGCAGAGCCCGGCCTTCTAAATGACCTTGCGGGGACCCAGCGGCTCTGCAGCCCGGGCTGGTTGGCGGTGGGGACACCCCGAAGGACAAGTGGACACACCCCTGTGTGTGTCATCGGCCCCGTCTGGGTCGACTGAGGGGCGAGAGCCAGCCTGAGAAGGCCGGGGCCACGCCAGCGCTGCTGGGCAGAGACGCCACCACGCCACCACGTCACCAGCTGGGCCCCTCCTTGAGAAACGGGGCCAGGGGGGCCGGGGGAGGGGAAAGAGGCTGCTAGCTGGGGAGTCACACACACACCCCGCCCTGCTCTCTTTCCCTGGCCGGGGAGACCCCTCCTCAGTGCCTTGGCCACACCCACCCCAACAGCAAGACACGCCCCCGTGCCTCAGTTTCCCAGCAGCGACACCGCTGTGCCGCGAGCCCTCAGGTGGCGGGGGGAGCACAGGCCTTCGTCTCCCAGGCCACAGGCGGCTCAGCGAGCAGACCGAAGGTCCCGCAGGCCGAGACGCGGCGCTGGCCCTCCACACACCCGGGCGCGAGAAGAGAGAGCACAGCCGGCCTGGGGCTGCTCCCGGGACACCCCGGGGTCCAGAGGGGCCGTTTGAAACCACGCGCGGGAGAAGAGCCGTCTAAGACGACCACCCCACTGCGTCGCCCCTCCCCGGGCCGGCCCGGGGCTCAGGCTCACAGTGCCCACCCAGCACCCCGCGCAGGAGGGTGGCCCGTGCCGCACGGGGGAACTCGGGCTCCGGGGTCCAGCGACTTTGCGTGGACCCCAGGACGCAAACCCGGGTCCGTGGCTGACAAGGTTGGCTTCTCCGGCCACCCCAGAGCAGCCCGCACCTCCCCCCACCCCCCCGCTGTTACCCCAGGAGCCCAGAGTCCTGGAGACAGGATGTCAGCCCCGCGATGCCGGCGGAGCAGCAGGCCCATCAAACCGGGCAGCTGGGGTGCTTAGACGAATGGTTCCCGCGGCGCCTGGGGGCCCAGCCTGACGAGGCCCGTTCACAGCCACAGCCGCGAACCACACCTGGAAAGCTGTGAGGCGCTTCACAAGGGTGCAGGGCAAGGGGCAAAGTGCGGGCGCCGTCCCTCCCGTCCCCCGGGGCGCCCCTCCCGAGCCCTGCCGTGCAAATCAGGAACCTGAGGTGCGGAGCGGGCCCTCCCCCGGCTGACAGCGCAGCAGCGGGCAGAGGACCCGGCGGGTGTGCCCCTGGGGGGTGGTGTGACGGACAGAGACGACCTGCACGCTCCCGACACTCCTCGGGGGTGTCACCTCCTGTCCTGCCTGCCGCCCCCTGAGCTGCTTCACAGCACGGAGCCGGACGGGGTCCAGCCCTCCCCCCAGGAGCTGCTCACAGACTGGGGGGCGTCACGTGGTGGAAAGGCCCCCCCGAGCTTGGGCTCAGCGCGGGACGCTGGGCTGGCACGGTGGGCACCCGTGGGTTGCCTGTGGGTTGGACTGGAACACGACCGGGGCCCCGTCCAGAGGCCAACTTTCTCCTGGCATGGGGTGGGCCGCCTGGGGCTCTGTCCTCTGGAAGAGGAGACTCAGGCTGGGGACCAGGCGGGGGCCGGGGGACAGGCAACCAGCCCGGTGACCCGTCACCAAGCCCACAGAGGGATCGGAGAAGGAGCCTGACCCAAGGCGCCCGTGTCCACCCAGGGAGCCTTGTCTTTGACGGAGTCCAACCGCCGGCCCAGGAGGCCCCACCGCACGGCCCCCTCTCCCTGCAGGGCTGCTGCCGGCCACTGCGCTCGCCCACGGGCCCTCGCGGGTTCCTGAAGGCGCGAGCCCTCCCCTGCTGTGTGGTTCTCCTGCCGCCTCTGGGGCAGAAGCCCCTCCAACGCTTACGCCTCTTTTTCCCTTTCCCACAATCTCCAACTTGCAGGAAAACTGCAAAAATAACGTGAGGGCTCTCGCTCTCCCACGCCCTCCCCCCCAGGGCCGCCGCGTAAATCCCTCGCTCTCCGGTCTGTCCACGCTCCCTCTCCCTGCGCCTCCACCTGCGTGTCACCTCCACACGGCCCCCGGCCCGTGGGGTGGGGCTTGCGGCGTTTCCGTCTTACAAGGGCGCCAAAGCAGCGCGAGTTCAACGGAAACCGCGGCGCCAAGACCGAATTCTGATCGGTCCTGGGGCTCGCAGTGGGCGCTGCCACACTCTCATGAAGCCGGGTGTTTGGAGACAGGCTTCGTGACGGTGCTCCTGCCTGCCTGGCGGCCGGGGTCGGCCGGGGGCGGCAGGCCGGGTGTGGCGGGGGCCCAGCAGGTCGGTGGGGACGTGATCCCATCATCCGTCGGGATTATATCGTGCCTTCGCTGAGAGAGCAGTCGCCGTGGAGCCGGCAGAGCGACCGGCACCAGGGCGTGGCTTGCACGGCGACAGTCCTGTCGTTGCCCACACTGCTGGTCATGGGGTTCACTGCCAGGCACCCTCGCACCCGATTCCTTTGCGCTGAGGTGTGCTCTGCAGGTGCCAGGCGGGGAAACTGAGGCCCGGCCTCCCCTGTCCCTACCCCTGCACTGAGCCCCCCCCACCGGCGTCCTTGGCATAAGACACACAACCTCCGCGCCGCTGACCGCCTCCCTCAGGGCAGGACAGGACGACGCCGTAGCAAACGAACCGTGGAGCCGTGGCAGCACAGCGGGAGCCCGGCTGCCCCTGCCGCGGTAGAAGAGGAGCGCGGGCGGGTCAGGGCCCGGGCCAGGGGGAGTCTGCAGAGCAGCTGCCGGCCCCGCACTCCTGGGAGGTGTGGGGGCCCGAGGGGCGGCCCCATCCCCCAGGGCCACCCCCTCCCTCCTCCCGGGCCTGCTCTCTCCTTCTCCCCCTTCTCTCCGCAGACAAACGGGACGGACGGACGGACGGACTCCGCCCCGGGCCCCGTGCAGAGCAGGTCCGTGTCCCACAGGTGACTGAGCAAATGAACAAGTGAGCAAATCACCGGCCTGCACACCCCGGCTCTGTCTTCCCAGGGCAGCTGCCCCGCCCCCAGGACACCCGGCTCGCCCGCCCAGTGGGACGGGGCGAGCACCGCCAGGGTGGGCGCTCACGGTCGGTGCGCACGGCCTTTGTGAAGGGGCCACTACCGGGTGGGCGTCGGGGTCCCGCGTCAGAGTGCCCAGACCTTTGCTCTGGGAAATAAACCCGAAAACGGGGAGAAACGGAAAGCAAAGCTGGAGAGACCAAATGTGAACAATGTGGGGCGGGCTCGCGTGTGTGTGTGCGCACACACACACACACACACGCACACACACAGCCTTGGGGGCAGCACATTTCAAGTCCCACGCCCACAGCGCCCCTGCCTGTCCACCCGAGACCGCCCTGGGAGGCGCAGGACGGAACGCTGCCCCCGGGGGCTTCCCCTGCAGACTCCACCGGGGACCCGACCTCCGTCACATACCCAACAATACACACGGCAGGGCCTGGGCTGGGGGAGGGGCTTGGGGATGAGGACCCCGGAGGGGGCCAGGCGGCTCCTTCCAGAAGCGGCCGGGACGGGCCTGCCCCGCGCAGGTGAGACGCTGCGCCGAGAACCGGGCCCCGGAAAGGGCCGGCCTGCCACCGCCGTCTCGGCACTGAGCGCTGCTCTCAGCCGCGAGCCGGCCGGTACGGGCGGCCCCGAGGGCGGGAGGGGAAACACGTGTGTGTGTGTGAGTGTGTGAGTGTGCACGCGTGTGGGCATGCGTGCATGCGTGTGCGTGCTCGGGGGCCTCACAACAAAGCAGACGGAGGTGAGTTAGATGCTCCCAAGCTACTTCCCTCCCGCGGTTTCCTGAGCCGCTCACGTCGCGGACGTGAAGCAGCAGCAGCACCGCCGGGCCGGCCGAGGGTCTCCGAGCCGGGCCTGGGGCTGGGCTGGGCCACAGGCTGGGCCCTCCCCACAGGGGAGGAACCCCAGCCCTAGAATCCCTGCCCGTCCCACTCGGCAACAAACAGCCTGGGGGGTGGGTGCCCGCACACTGCGGGCCGGCTCGCGGGGGGGAGGGGCGGGGAGGAAAGTCACTTCCCCCCGGAGCTTCCTGGACGTCGTGAGGTCTGTCTGAGCCGCCGGGCTGCCCAGCCGCCCTTCACCGGATCCCAGAGCTCCCTCCGAATTCAAGCAGACGGAACCACTCACCGCCTGCACGCCCGCCAGCCGGCGATTACTCCGCTTTTCCTGGAATGAGCTCCCCGCGCCGTCGCCGGCCGCCAGAGCTATCAGCAGCAGCCGGGCCCCCACCTCCGACCGGCTCTCGCACCCTCTGCAGCTGGTGGCGAGGCTTCTACGCCTCTCCTCGAAGTCACACTCAGAAAGTGCCGGCGGCTCCCCGAGCCGGAGGACGCGGGAGGGAGGGGCCGCACGGGGCGCTCTGGGGAGTCACTTGGGATGCGAGCGAGCAGGAAGGGTGGCGGGCCGTGCCTCCCTCCTCCTCCTCCAAGGCCAGCCCCGCTCTGCCTTCCTCCCCACTTCGGCTTGGCTGGCCGAGCCCGCACGGGTGTCCCCGAAGCCGCCCCCCTCCCCCGGCTGCACGTGAAAGACCCCCGGCGGAGGAGCCCCCGGCAGCTGCCGCGGCGCCGGGCCCGCCTCCCGCGGAGGCCCAGCGCGCAGACGAACGCGGAACACCCGCCACGCTCGGGACTGACCTTTCCACATGTCACATCAGATTTTCCGCTCGCCGGCAAACCAAAAGCAAACCAAACACAACCAGCACACCTCCCCACCCCGCCCCCACCTGTCACCCCGCGCGGAAACCCATCAGAATTTACGGCAAGCCGGCCGGACTCCAGACGCGCCTAATGTCGTTAGGAAGCCTGCACAGCGCCCAGATGCCAGGAGGGTCTCGGTGACAGACTCCAGGCTCCGGGCGGAGGAAAAACAAGACACGGCACAGCCGCCTGCAGACACGCCAGCCTCCTCCTCGCCCTGCCCCACGGGAACTGATGGGATCCTCGGAGGGGAGCCCCGAGCACCCAGGGGCCGGGGCTGGGGGCTCTGGGATCCGCGCAAACAGGGTTTGCAAGGCCCGACCCCAGCACCGGAGGGCCAGCCCTGCCCGGGGCCCCCCTGCAAGCCGGTTCTGTTATTAAAGCCATCTGTCAGCGGCAACTCGCGACGAGACAGAGAACCCAATCGGCCGCCCCTGAGCCTGACTCTGGGAGGCGTACCCGAACGTCCAGCCGCCCTGGCCCCGTTTGCCCCGCCCCCCCCCAGTGGGGTCCCCCGTTCAGAGGTTCAGAGCTGGGGGCTGTCTCCCTGATACCTGCCGCGGACGCTGAACTTCCCGGTGAGTCAGACGGGCCACTGGGTGTTCGTTCTATTTCCAGCCCGCACCGGGCTTCCTCCCCGGCCCTGTGCAAATTCGCGGCTTCTAAGAACCGGGGGCTAAATCCGTCCCCTCGGGCCCCCCTTCCCCCCCCTTGCACCGGGGGTGTCCTGTGGACAACGAGGGGCACTTCTGTCCTTCCTCACAGCCCAGAAACAGAGGAGACAGGAGGGGCGCCAGCCAGGGGGCTGGCCCCGGGCCCTGGGCCAGGTGCCCCCCAGGAACCCCATCCAGCCCCTCCAGAAAAGCCGCCCCGGCGGCCGTTTGGAGACCGGGCAGAGGCCGTGGAAAACGCCGACCCGCTGGGCGGCTGTCCCTCAGCCCCATCCCGACCCAACTCTGCTGAGGGACTGTCCCCAACAGATGGCCGTGCTGCGGGGTGGACCCCGCGGGCAGGGCTGCTCCGCCCAGAGCCAGCTGGCCCGAGATCTCCCTGCACCACCGGTCTTCTCGGAGTTTCTCGGTTACGGGACAAAACAGCCCCCCACTGAGCCCCGCTGTCAGGTGACGGGGGGAGAGACGGGGGGCCCTGTGCCCCCCGCGCCCCCGAGCCCGGCCCGTCTGGGGCACATGTGACAGCCTCCAGACGCGCCCCCGCCCCAGGGAGGCGCACCGTCCTGCCCAGCAGCAGTTACTCGGGAAATGGACAGGCTCTGACCGCGACCCCCCCAGGCACGGCTGCCCCGGTGGGGAGACCCCCGGCCCCCAAACCTGGCCTCCCCCCCCCCCCCGCCCCGCCTCTCCCTCCAGCCCCGCTCCTCAGAGGAGGCCAGCAGCCCCCACGGCCAGGACGGAGCCCTCCCGCCTGATCAGCCGTCCTCCGGCTGTGACAGTCCGAGCAGAAAATTACCTTTCAGGAAGAAAGCGTCCAGGGGGGCCGAGTGGGCACAAAGTGTCCGAGCCGCCACCGGGCCGCCCCCCGGGGGCCCGCAGGTCCTCCACGTCCATGCCCACGGGCTCGGGGCGCCGCCCCTGGCACGGAGGCCCTCCCGACAGACAGGACAGACAGACCGAGGGACCTTCGGGATGGAGGAGCTGTGAGCCGGGCAGGGATGCAGGAGGGAGGGAGGGAGGGAGGCCCGGAGGGCGGGGAGGGGAGAGGGAGGAGGGGAGAGGGAGAGTCGATTCTCTCTCCGCCGCCGCTGCCGGGACCACTGAGCGGAGTTGCCATGGAGAGGGGGAGCCGCTGGCGCAGCCCAAAGCACCGCGGATCCGTGTGCTGGAGGAGGGGGGCCGCAGAGGAGCCATCCCCACCCACCTCCCTGTGCAGCCTCCCCCGAAACCAGGCCTCTGGGCCACACGGCCAGGTTGGGAGGGACCGGCGGACCCTCTGGGGCCCAGAGCAGCTCGCTGCCCCGGGGGCAGGGACACCACCCAGGGTTCGGCGCCCGGCTCCTGACTCCATCCTGCTCCCGAGGGCCCCCCACGACCACGGCCTGGGAAGGCCAGGTCCCAGGTGTGCCCGACACTGCGGACCTCCACCTGTCTCCCCGCTTCTGAAAATCAGCGTGGCCGGACCCCGAGTCAAAATTCCCCACGGGGTCCAGCCACACTGGCCACCCACAGGAATAAGGGGGTGCCCACCTACACGAGGGCTCCGATGCCCAGAGCCACCTGTGCAGGGAGGGGAGGAGCACGGTGTGAGCTCTCCCGGCCACGAGGGGCTCCCCAGGTGGACGGCGCTCCCAGGTGCTGCCCGGCCGGGGCCCCCACCGTCCCATCCACCTGCCGCTGCCGCTGGCCACAACCGCGGCTGCAGGACTGGCCGTGGCCACCGGGCCCAGCTCACACCCCAGACAGCAGAAACGGGGCTGGGGAGAGAGCCGGCGGGCCTGGTCTGGGGCCTCAGTTTCTCCTCCTGGGGGCCAGGTGGCAGAGGCAAGTCGGGGGGTGCATCTCTGCACCCCCATCGCTCATCTGGGGTAAACCCACTGCCTCCCAGCCAGCACTCCGGGGCACAGGGACACGGTAATGGCTGGGGACAGGAAGGGACAGGGATGGGGCCCATCCCTCGGGGGATGGACGCAGCAGGACACAGGCCTGGGGGGTGGGGAGCCGGCACGGCAGCAGCGAGGGCCCCGGCAGAAGCCCAGCCTCGGAAACGCCGACGCCGTGGCCCTACCCTCACTGTCCCTGCGACGCGATGCTAGGAAAACGTTCCGCTGACAGTGAACTTGAACTCACTCCATCGCGAGCATGCCTACGTGCCCCGCCCGGCCAGCAGCCCCGCCCCCTCTCCCGCCGAGTGCGGGAACACACTCAGTCCCCGCTTCCACCGCCTGATGGTGAGCACGGCCCGGCACCCGGCGCATCCACGAGGCTGTGCCACCGCCACCTCCCTCTGGTTCCAGAACGTTCCTGTCGCCCCAGCAGAGACCCCGTCCCCGTGAGCAGCCACGCCCGCGGCCTCCCCTCTGACGACCACCAGGCCACGGGGCGCAGGAGGGCTCCCGGAGCAGCCAGAGGTCCCAGAGCGTGTGGCGGCCTCGCAGGGGGCTCTCAGTCCCCTCTGCCTGGAGAAGCAGCCGGGCAGCTGGACACGTCCACACGCCCACACCACGCCCACCCTCTGAGACCCCCCGACCCGTGGTGCCCTCTGACCCTCACTGGCTGCACGACCAGCGAGTCATTTCCACCCTCTGGGCCTCAGCTCCTCCATCTGTAAAATGGGGCAACAGCCTCGGCCTTGTGGGGCTGCTTTGGGGACGGGCCCGACGCCGTCCCACAGAGCTTTCCGCAGTCACGGACCTGCTCCGGGCCTGCGCTGGCCGGTGCGGCCGCCGCTCACCCCACGTGGCTCCTGAGCCCCTGAAAGAGGACCGGTGCGCCTGGGAAACGCAGTTGTGAATTTTACTTCACTTCCACTTAGAACGACGTGGCTGTGGGGGGTTAGTGGTGACCCTCGCGAACAGAGGGGCTCTGAGGACTCGATGACATGGAAACGCAGGGCGCAGGCCCCGGACCACGCTCCCAGCCCCTGCGTCCTGCCCCTTCACCTCCTCCGCACCCCACTTACCCGTGGTGCCCGGGCGGTCGGGTGGGCTTCTACAGGCGGCCCGGCCCCCAGGCCCCCCTCTAGAAGGACAGAGGATGGGCGGTCGGGCTCTCAGGGAACAAAGCAGACTCCGGCTGGGGCGTGGGCTTGGGGGACTCCATAGCGACGGGGGTCCCTGGACCACAGACTGTCCTCCCGCCCCGACCGGCCCCAGACACCTGTTCTAGAACCCCGTCTCCCGCCGTCTCCCCCAGCAACTCCGGAGGCCATCCCTGGAATGTCTGGGTGGGAGCCCTGGGGGTGGAACAGACCGGCCCCCTTCCTCGAGTGACAGCAGGGCCCCGGGGGAGGTGGTGTGCAGAGGGTGCTCGGGCCCAGGCTGGGACGTGGGGCGGTGCTCAGGGTGACCTTCCCACACGCACGCAGCGGGTGGCGCTCCTCCGGCCCAGAGAGTCCACGCTGGAGCCTAACCTACCCTCTGCGGGTGCACAGACGCAGGCGCGGTCAGGAGGGCACATGGGGGCGACAGGGCAGGCACAGAGGCGGGGCTGAAGCCTGCGCCCCGGTGCCCAGCTTGGCCTGCACCCACCCCCCGAGAGGCAACTCTGAGACAGGCCCAGGTCGGGGGGCCTCGGCCCCCCACCCCCAGCCAGGGCCCAGGGGACAGGGCCTGCTTCCAGGGAGCTGTGTGGCTTCAGAGCAGGAGCTGAACCCTGGCCGAGCCGTCCCGTGCCGTCACCCCACCACCCCAGCCCGCCCCAGAGGACCAGGAAGTGGCAGCCGAGGGCTCCGGGGAAACCTACACACGTCCCCAGGAGCCCGAGCCCTGGCCTGCTGTGACCTCAGGGGGGGCCGTGCCCCCCTCGGCAGGAAGCTGCTGTCCGGCCTCATGCCCCCCCGCCATGCCTGTCCCCAACGGACAGCCCAAGGGCCCCTGCCACACCTGCAGAATGTCCTGC